TAATTTTTACACTAAGCTATATAAGGTATTGGTTCTGCCTTGTATTGATGTCTGTTGCGTTGTGTTGACGCGTGGTAAACACACATTGCGTTCAGCGCAGGGCAGCAGACATCAATGCAACGCGCTGGTGTGGACGGCTCCCATTCACACCTATTCATTTTTCAGATGTCCTTGCGTTAGTATCCGCTGAAAAACCGCATCTGATGTAATAGTTTGTGTCCCCTTTACCCTAAGGAGAACTATGGGGGAAAACACTGACCCCCATAGTTCTCCTTTAATCTTTTCCTGCAGAGGAACCCTTCAAATGGTTTTAAGATTTTACGGTTATATATCTATATATAGCTCACAGGGCATCAGGGAGATCAGTGAAGAGTAATGTAAACCGAAAAGGAAAATAAAATGTTACTGTAATTGCTTAAAAAGTGTCAGCCGGAGTTCAGATTTCACTTCACGTGCGTCTGACGAATAGGGTGGCAACCGTAGGGGCAAGGGTGGCTGCATTGCCCCTCCATACAGTGGAGTCACCCTGGGACAGGAAATGTGTTACCGGCAGGATCACCAGGTGACATCAAAGGGAAAAAAGAAAAAACTCAACTGGGCGGAAAGTAAAGATCTGCGAACACAAGAGAACGTACCCCGCCACTGCCAGAGGAGCCACCACAAGGCACGTGGAGGCACCCGGCCGCTCACCTGAAGAAGCGGAACCGGTATTGGAGTTCTTTCTGCAGCTCCTGGTCCAGCTTGTTCCGGAAGAACTCTTTCCGGTCCACCACCAGGAACTCTGTGTCCTCCATGCAGACCACCGTGGCATTCCTCCTCAGGCCTTTCAGGAGAGCCACTTCCTGAGGGCCAAGAACAGTACGCTGTATTTATCACGTGCACACGCCCAGCCCTCACCGTACACAGAGATTTCCCAGCTCGCCGGACAACAATGAAACTGGGGCAGGTCCACCGCACTGCCATAATCCCGACTAGGAGGGGTGAAGTCCAAGAACTGTGCAGCCCCCCGGATATACCCCAAGACCCGCCCACCACCGCCGCTCTCAGGGGGAAAGCGACTGCCAACAATTGGGTGGAGACTACGGCACAGGAAAGCGGAGGCTGCAGTCAGTGCACCCAGTGCTATAAGCCTGTCGGACCATCACTTCCTCCCAGGGGCGTAACTAGAAATCACAGGGCCCCATAGCAATATTATGTATGGGGCCCTGTGATTTCTAGTTACACCCCTTGCAGAGCCCACCTGAGACCCCACAGAGCCCAACTGAGAGTGACCCTGCAGAGCCCACCATAGACTCTCTATGGTGGGCTCTGCAGAGTCTCAGGTGGGCTGGTCACACCCCTTACCTTGTCACCTTCCGCCTCCTCCTCCTTCACGGTCACTGGTGGGCCCCGCCTCCTCCGTCGCTGGG